CTACAACTTAAAGGCATTGTGGGAATGTAAACATTGCGAACGTTGCCGTGTCGCTGTTTAATTGTGAGTCGAACTGAGACGTTATATCCGTCGAAAAACATAAACGCAATGTTTCCACCAGTGATGTTAGCCGAATGAAGCAACTGGAAACCAAGAAACGAGGTGCAACGGAGTAGTTTACTGTAGGAGGCTGTACGAGGCGATGACAACTGACATGCATCGTGACGTCGGTTACCATGGCAGTGACGTCATTAGTGTGACGTCATGCAAATATTGTACTACAGTACAAAACTCTTCCGCAACCTCTTTATGAAACCGGTTTCGGTTTGAAACCAAAAACATAACAAAAATACGCTATTTTGTCAATTTAAATGCATGTAAGACGTGGTAATAAATAAAATATTACACTCGGTCTCATTACATACGAATTATACGAAACTCGTGATCTTCCTATAGTTATTCGACCTCGCTTTCGCTCGGTCAGATACCATAGGAAGGACACTCGTTTCGTATAATTCGTATGTAATGAGACCTCGTGTAGTATTCTCTATATATCAACTCAGTTTGTTCTCATTTAAAATACATTCGTGTTTGCATTTTCCGAGATAGATCTTCTAAGTAGTTTAACATAGCGATTGCATTTATTACTGCATAAATTCTAACTACCTACTGTGAATGACAAATTGCCTTCTTTTTGAATTTAGTGCCATGATGTTTTCTGCAAAATTCAGCAAAAATAGTTTGCTGAATATATATGTGTTGATCTTGTCACTATATGGCTAAGATGATGCCGAAGTGACGTAAAACCCAACTCAACTCAACTTGCATTCATTAGTTTCAAGTGACAACATTTAGCATTAATATCTCCTTTCACATAAACTCCACTCTGCAATGTTAATATGAATACTTTACACCAATACCACCCATGTTCAGCATCAAAAGTATGTTCTTGCTCTGTGTGACACTGGTACTGTGCCGGCTTAACTTTGATACCGCCCGCGATCCTCTTCTCTCTGTATGGAGAACATGGAGATGTATGGAGAACATGCAGATGTATGCAGAACAGCAATGTAATAACAGAACAAACATCACATGTGTCTTTCTTGGCTTGGTCATCTCCTCCGTCATCCCCCACCAACCCACCAGGCGTGGGTGATTAGTTAAACAAACGAAACCAGTCAACCAAGCCTCATAATCCTCTTACTCTTTAAATAAACAACTTGCCCGACTGGCAAAAGAGGATACCACCTGTGCGTGCGGGATTTTGGGGTGGGCTGCCATGATACGATGGGCTTACAGCCTCTGTGGTTACAGTAATCAGTAGGAGCGTCTGCCTCTCATTGCCCCTTGAATCACATGACTGAATATACAACTGAGATAATGGCCGTGTCAGGGAGATGGGTATTATGCTTGGCAACTTGGTGTCAAGTGCTGTAATATAAGGCCGCGAACACTTTCTTCTGGCCATCATTCTAACAGATCTTACAAGCATCGAATGGAAACTGCTCTCTTTGACCTCAACACTCGTCTGTACGAAACTGAGATGAAGTTTAAAAGTGCCTGCGAACAAGTGGTCCTTCTCAATAACAAGCTGGAGGGTTTGGAGACTCGCTACGAGCAGGCACGTCGAGCAAACCATCACTCCTTTAGATATAACCTAAGGCTCCGAATGGCAACAGTGGAAGGCATTCAGAATGCCTTCACCGAGTATGCCTTTGAAAAGGCTGAGAAAATTATAGAGCTCAGATTCAACATCGCTCAATTGGACATCACAGACACCAGCTCAGAACAGAGTGATTCTGACTTGATGGAAGATTTAAAACACACCATGAGTTTGACAACATACGCTCTCTAGCCCTTTTCAGGGCTGACAAATGAAACGTGTATATCTAAAAACTGTATTTAATACCAGGTTCCACACGTGACCCAGTTGTATTCTGTTTCTGTACAATAGGCCATGTGCCCAGAGTACTCATAAACTTCTTGTTCTTGTAAATATCACGTGTGACATTTTTTAGCAATGTTTATAATGTGACATTTAAATAAAATACTATCTTATCTTGTCTCATCTGTATATATTGCGCAATCCCTTTGCATTGTTTGAGGGCACCCGTGAAGAGCAAGCTCATCGCGGTGGGTGCTGGATGATGCTAATAGCTGTTTGCCCGGATTAAGCTCAGGGCATAATAATGGTGTCCAAAGAAACAGTTAAAAAAGGTAGACACGGGGAGTGTATGGGTAAGTCTGAAACCGTCAGTATTGCCCAGGAGGCAATCCTAGTTATTTTTATTATTTGTATTTCTTTTCTATATTTATAAACGTTTTTATTACAAATTCGACCTAGGTTAATGCCCCACCATTTACATTTTCTTGGGTATTGTGGTTTATCCCCTATTATAAACATATTAATTATTACTTTAGCTCCCACCTACCCCGTCGGCGAAATTGGCATCCGCCAGAAGCCAACGTAAAATCCTAAAATACGATACGATACGGAATCGTCAGTCGTCGGATACCTACATCGGGTAAGTTCTCTGCGACTGAGAGTCTTGTATCAAGACCAGATTAAGTTTCCACTTATTGTTTATTGTTTCTAGGGAATGTCGTGTTGATTTAGTGATGGGGAAGAGGAGGAATAGCATAAGAATAAGTAGGTTTTATCTTGTTATTTTCAGGAGTGGGCATAACAGGTGGACATAATCAGCAGTTTATTGTATGTTGAGTAGGATTTAGGTAGGTTGGGGAGGTGAGAAATACGTAGGATTGTTTGTTCTGAAGATTGGCCTTGATCTAACTTTCTCATTCATTTATTTTTCCAATAAACAAGAATGGTACTCTTTTGTTGTGACTGGGAGTTGAAGTTGGGAAGACCTGTCAGGAATTACTCATACAGAACCCGCAGACAAGATGTACTGACCACGCCAAGAGACCAATTCTAAAAACACAACGCAAAGCATATCATCTCAGTAGCCCACCGACATTTGTCTCATATATGCAACGTTCTGCTGTCACTGGGCGTCTATTTTACACACTCACGCGCTAGGCGCCAATTACACATTATTGTAAACAAATCAGACAAGACAGGGACCGTCTCAAAAGCAAAACCGGGACGTAAAACCACCCTTGACAAATTTGACAAGGGTTAACTTAGACGGGCGGTCTACAAACTTTAGGAGAAGAAGTATCACATGCAGTATACAGTATATCAAGTGCAATATACTGTATACCACATACACTATACTGTGTGCCACGCGCAGTGTGCGCCGGGCGAATTCCCGGCTGGGTCGTAACACCGATAGTCTCCCCCTCTCCCCTTAGCTAACACCGCATGGGGGATGTAACGAGGTCACAGGTCAGGCATGTACTGGTCAGCTGTTTGGCCGCTGGCCTGATAATGGGTGCATGATTTAAACATACTCTTGAAATTCTGAGACTGTGGCTTTCTGCTATGGTCTTATTAGGTCAAGAGTAGGATGATCCAGATGACCACTGCACGAGAGGCATGTGGGTTGTGGACGAGGTTCCACATGGTCTTGCCATAATACCATTTTAGGAAGACAGATTATCAGATCTGAGATATAGTCGAATTAATGAGCGTTGGTTAGTTAGTTTGGGAACTGGGAGCTGAGCACTAAGCTCCTAGTTAAACACAGCTCACAATAAAACGTTGTGGACCCGCAGACGGACTTGTGTTGTCACTTTGAGGAATATCCGCCAACACACAACAACAACCAACACCTACAACAACATAGTAGTAGACAGCCTGAAACGTCTACGGACTGGTCCTGCTACGGCGGATATATTGGTGGAGACAAGATCTTCGGTACCTCCAAGCACCAAGCACAAAAAAGAAGAAGTTATAACAAGACAAAGTCTTCGTCTGGGGCCCACAACAACAGCAACAACAGTGTCAACAAAGAACAACAGCCACAACAACACGCAACAAGGCATTCTCAAGGTATTCTGTGTGATCTGTGCTCGTCATTGTATTTTCATCATTATCATCCGTCATCGAAGCCATTGTGATTACCCTAGTGATCATCACATGACCACCCCCATTGCCGTTTGTTGGACCTGGAAACCCGAACGTATACCAAACAAACTGGAAGGGGAACGGAAAATCCGAAAGCTACTTCGGCCTGCACCAAGCCCCTGTGTACAGTTTTCACAAATAACTTCGGAACGGATCAGCAACAACTCTGTTACAGGGTTCGACGACTACGTCATTACCTGAACTTTTAGAACTCTCTGCTACACTGCCTTACTGTGGGTAGCAGAATAACCTACCGGAACACTTCTCAGGACAATAGTGACATTTGTTTTCAAACAGTGTGTTTGTTATTTAATTCTTTGGAACACTGTTGGTAAGAAATCTTTTCTGTTACCATTTTTGTTTGCATTAAGCATGGATGTTCTTTATGACCCATGGGGCTACCCATACAGCCCGATAGCATCAGAATTTAACTCCTGCTCTTCAAGAGCGCCTGCGGAACGCCAACCGACCCCACCTCCACCCACATCCAATACACGCCAGCCCTGCGTCACATCCATATTGCATTTTCTTTTGCTATTGTGCATATGGACATACTTCACAATTATTGTACACAGTTAACCACCTTCTTTTAACATCTCACATATACACAATGCATCACCTCCGTTCACCGCCTCGGTACATTAATATTAATTAGAGTTGATTGTATCACCTTAAAGATATGTTTCCATACCTGAGCTGTTATTCCTTGATGATTTTTATGCAAATGAAGTTTAGATTTCTTTTGGAGAGACTTATCGCACGATCGTGTATTACATTCATGTTATCTCTTTTGAGTTTGAATGTTAGTAAATGAATGGGAACGAGTGCAAGGTGATTTGAACGATTATTATGACTGGCCGTATGTACGATATCCTCCTCTGTGAATTATAGTTGTGATATTGATATTGATTTGCCCAAGTATAATATGATATGTTATTCGCAATGTACGTTGTATATATAATGGCGGTTACTCCGTGTGAGAGGATGGAGAAGGGAGAGAGCAAAGAAGAGAGAAAGAATGAATGGAGAAAGACGTTTGTGAGCAAGAGAGATACACATATTTTTAATCAAGCTACAAACAAATTCCTTTTTCTAATGGTCAGCGTTGCGCCCATCAAAATATAACTTGAGTACGAAAGTAGGCAATAAGTAAATTAACCAAAGAAAAGACTCAGACTAAAGACATAATATATTGCACACCTTAGTTCATCTACACACAAATACATGACACATGAAACTTTGTTAGTATGTACTTGTTTCTTTGGTCGTGGTAAGTGTAATTCCATGTTTGTTTGTATGTAATGTATTTGTATTATAATTTGAAAACATTGTAATTATGTTGATGTGCGTATGTGAAAGTTACAACCGTATATACAGCCTCGAATAATGAACAACAATGTACCAAAAACCTATAAGCCATCAATAATTTGACATGAAATTAGATATAATACCCAAGATATCATTTAGTTCGGTTATATGTACTATATCTATATTCAAGTATGAAAGTTAGACGGCTGAAAGATTAGCGCAGTTTTGTGTCTCGTCCGGGTGTTATATTTAAGAGTAGTACAGTGATGAGGTGAAGAAAAATAATAATGATGAAGTTATCGCCATGGTAAATGTTAATGTTTTGTAGTGTTTTGTGTGTTACTGACAAGGCTGCGCTAAGAAAGGCGAATGAATGCTAATGATTTGTTTTAAGCACAATGTGAATGCCGAGCGTGGTTGGGTGGATGCAAGAGTGACGTGAGTGAGTGTACTTTCATTAAGAGGGTGTGTTTTGTTAAAACACAAGTGATGACTGATATACTACATAGGTCACATAAACACTAAAAACAAAACAGGTTCAACATTTGGCATTTTCCTCGCTAGCGGTACCCAATAGTTGTAAAACCAGCATTAACAGATAAATCTTTATATATATATTTATTTGAAAGACTGTATATCTTGGCTGTTTATGTATGTAAGTCAACGTCCTTCGTGTTTTATATATTATTAATGAAAAAAAAGTGGTCCACGGCAAAACATTGTACATTACATTAAATCTGATTATAAATCCATGTCCATTTCTAATAATGTCTGGCACCCATGAAGGGCCACCTCCTCGTGGTGGGTGCTGGGTCACGCTAAGCGCCCTTCACCCCCGTTGTGGACCCGGGGGGATATATGGTCCACCAACCCGTTTGCCGTGGGTTGCGCCCCTGTGTCGGTGGAGGAAGGGATTCTGGTGGTTGAGGGCACTGGTTCCAGGAACAGTGTTCCTTTGCCCAACACACCACTTCGGCCCTGACTTCACCTAGACGGGTGGTTGAATGGGCCCGGTTCAACCAATCGGCTGGTCATGCCAAGCCCTGTGTATTATTTTGTATCTGAATATAATTGTTGAATTCCGAAATTGTCGTTTCAATTTAGGTCTTGGCCCAGTTTGTTTAACAAGCTGAACGTAATTTCAAAATTAGTTGATTTTATAAATTGCCTAGAGTTTATGCCCAGAAGGCGATGGCTCATGGGCCAATCTTGTGGTACATTATCTGTAATGCTACTGCTTGAGTATACCCTCTTGGTATCCTTGGTGCCGCCTGTTGGAGGCCCACAGGCATTAGGCATCGTCCTTGTTGACACTCCGTGGTGGGTGGGGATCCAGGAGGGTGAAACACAAATATATTACCATGGCAAACCAAAACCCCAAAAAAGCAAAAACGTTATCACATTGATGATACTGACGATGAGGATGATACCATTACCAGACTATGTTATTCCGAGCGTAACACATGGCCTCGATTCATTGTTGCCGAATCAAGTGAGAAAAAGTTAACTTCCTGTTCTCCCTTTCTACTAGAAAAAGCAATTCAAGGAATTGCCGGGACTGTCAAAAATGTTACCAAAACTAGATCGGGTTCAATTCTCATAGAATGTCTAAAGAGGGAGCAAGCGGCTAATCTACTAGAAGCAAAATCATTTGCAAATATCCCTGTAAAATGCTATGCTCACAAGACACTAAATTTTAGCAAAGGAATCATCCGAGACCGAGATAGGAGTCTTACTGATCTGTCAACTGATGACATTGTTAGTCAGTTACGTATGCAAGGAGTGGTCGAGGCTAAACGTTTCAGTTTTAAGAAGGATGGTATGTATTCACCCTCGAATACGTACTTGCTTACGTTTGATGTACCCTGTTTACCTCAATCAATTAAAGTAGGATGTTTCTCCATGAAAATTGACATGTATGTTCCAAATCCTCTGAGATGTTTTAACTGTCAGAAATTTGGCCATGGGCAGAACACTTGTAAAAATCACGCTTCTTGTTATCGTTGTGCTGGTAAAGATCATGATAGCAGCAGTTGTTCCTCTGAACTGAAGTGTGTAAATTGTTCCTGCTCTCACATGTCTTCATCTAAAGAGTGTCCGGTGTGGCAATTCGAAATGACTGTCCAACGCATCAAAACTGAAAAGAATATAAGCTTTTCAGAAGCAAGGAAGTTGGCAGCTTCAGGTACAACATCCTGCAACACTCTTTTGAGAGGTAAGTCAACTTATGCTGCGGTGACGCGACCTTCCACTAAATCTATTGACTGTCAAACAGACTTGACCTGGCTGAATGCACAGACGCCAATGAACATTTGTGATCTTCCTTCTGTTTCTTCTTCCTCACCAAAAATATCACGATCCGCTGAAACTCAAACAGCACCTACACCAGTTGTCAAAAAGAAGAATGCAGATGTCAATTACTCAAAAAAGCAAAACAAAGGTGACCGTCTTCCTAAAGGACAAAGAGACCCTGTGTCCCTTTTAAACAGATTCGACCTTTTAGATGACATGGAAGTGTCACCTCATCTGACTACCCGTTCACGGAGCCATTCTCCTAAGAAAAGGGTCGGGGAGATTTCTCCAATAACACATACTAAATGACTGATACGCTAATACAATGGAATTGCAGAGGACTTAGAAAGAATTATAATGAAATTCTTTTGTTGATACAGGACTTTAAACCGTCAACACTGTGTCTCCAGGAGACATATCTTAAACAAACTGATGTTTTTAACTTACGACAATACAGTTGTTACCATTCATTTTCTCCTCAGGGGGACAAAGCGACTGGAGGATCTAGTATCCTGGTCAGACAGGACATGATTCATAGCGCCGTTCAGCTGAATACTAATCTTCAAGCTGTTGCTATCCGACTTACTTTGCACATTGCTCTTACGTTGTGCTCTTTATATGTACCACCGTCATCAGTTCTTCGACAATCTGAACTTCAAAGTTTGTATGATCAGCTCCCAAAGCCCTGCATCATCATGGGCGACTTGAACGGGCACAACCCTTTATGGGGTAGTACAAATACAAACAATAAAGGGAAAGTTATTGAAGAGTTTCTTTCTGATAATAATTTATGTGTTTTTAATGATGATTCCAACACTTATTTGCATCCAGCCACTGGAACGTATTCTACACTTGATCTAGCCCTCACAGAGTCGAACATTTACAATGAATTTCAATGGTCTGTACATGATGACCTTTGTGGAAGCGATCACTTCCCTACTGTCCTGACAGCTATAAAACCAGATGATAATCCACCTTCATCACGATGGAATTTCACGAAGGCAAATTGGCCTGTATATGAACAATTATGTGTTGAACAATTAACACCTGACCACTTCAATAATGTACCAGATCCCATCCAGCTGTTTTCAACACAACTGAAAAATATTGCTGATCAAACAATTCCTAAGTCCTCTGCAACTCCTCATATTCGTAAACCATGGTTTACTGACGAATGCAAACAAGCAAGAAAACGTAGGAAGAAAGCAGAAAAATATTTTCGCAGACATCCCACTGTTCACAACTTTAACAATGTTAAAATTTCTAGTGCCAAGGCACGACGTACGTATAAGCAAAACAAGCGCCAATCTTGGAGAAACTATGTCTCAAAAATTAATTCACGCACGCCAATGTCTAAGGTGTGGAACATGGTACAGCGAATAAAAGGCAAAGGCTCAAAATCTGCTGTTCACCATCTTAAAGATGGTGACAAAGTAGTAACTAACAAATCTGAAATTGCAAATAAAATTGGCGAAACTCTTGCCAAACATTCTTCATCGGCAAATTATGTCCCTGAATTTCAGAGATATCAGAAACAACAGGAAAAGACTAAAGTTAATTTTGATTCCAATAACGGTGAAGACTACAATGAAGTGTTTTCATTACATGAGCTCCACGCTGCTCTTGACCAAGCTCATGATACTGCAGCGGGTGATGACACTATTCATTATCAGCTTCTGAAACACTTGCCTGAACCATGTCTGGAGACACTTTTAGATATATTTGACAAAATATGGACGTCTGGTCTTTTTCCTTCTTCCTGGCGTAATGCAATTGTAGTGCCAATACCAAAACCTGGCCGGGATCATACAGATCCATCAAATTACAGACCAATTTCTTTAACCAGCTGCGTCTGTAAAACCATGGAACGAATGGTAAATAACAGATTAATTTGGTATCTCGAAACCAATAACCTCATTACAAACATTCAGTGTGGTTTTCGGAAGAATAGAAGTACTATTGATCATTTAGTACGTTTAGAATCCTTTGTAAAAAATGCTATTATCACCAAACAACATGCAGTATCTATATTCTTTGATCTTGAGAAAGCATATGATACTACTTGGAAGCATGGAATTTTAAAGGATTTACATGATTTTGGTTTGCGAGGTCGTTTGCCTCTTTTTATATCGAAGTTTTTAACTAACAGGCAATTTCAAGTCCGAGTGGGTTCAACCCTGTCTGATCATTACAATCAGGATCAAGGTGTCCCACAGGGCAGTATCTTGTCTGTCACGCTATTTAGTATTAAAATAAATAGTCTTTCAAAGGTTTTAAGTGATTCAATCGACGGATCCCTTTTCGTGGATGATTTTAATATTTCTTGCCGTGGTAAAAATATGAGAACTATTGAGAGACAATTACAACTTTGTCTCAACAAAATTCATAAATGGTGTCTGGAAAACGGGTTTAAATTTTCGAAATCCAAAACCAATTGTATACATTTTTGTAGGAAATACAAACCCCATAAAGATCCTGAATTATCATTAAATGGCACACCCATCAAAGTTGTCAAGGAAGCTAAATTCCTTGGTCTCATCTTTGACTCGCATTTAACTTTTCTGCCCCATATCAAATATCTAAAAGCCAAATGCCTGAAGGCACTCGACTTGCTGAAAGTCGTTTCCAGTTCAAGGTGGGGAGGGGACCAAACTACCCTCCTTCATTTGTATAGATCACTGGTCCGATCGAAACTTGATTACGCTCTATCGTATATGGTGGGGCCTGTAAAAGCAACCTCAAACTACTTGATTCTATACATCACCAAGGTCTAAGACTTTGTCTTGGGTCTTTCAGAACCTCTCCCATTGACAGTCTCTACGTTGAGGCCGATGAGCCATCTTTAAAACTTCGCCGTATCAAATTGTCCCTACAATATATCACAAAGTTATATTCTAATGACTCCAATCCTGCTCACACTTGCATTTTTAATCCTTTTTATGAGGATTTGTATAATAAAAAACCTTCACTTGTTCCACCTCTTGGGATAAGAATCCAACAATTCATTTCTGCTGCTGGCATTGAGTTGGAGAATATATCTCCTTCCCGTCTTCTTTCTTCTCCTCCTTGGCAATTGGTGAGACCACAAGTTGACCTAACGCTGACAAAGTTTAAGAAATCAGAAACTAACGAATTACAATATAAACAAGAATTTAATCAATTAAAAAGTAAATATAATACATATAAATCCTTATTTACAGATGGGTCCAAGGATGGTGGCGCGGTTGCTTGTGCCACTGTCATTGGATCCCGAACAATATCTTCTCGACTACCAGATAACAGCTCTATTTTCACAGCAGAAGCTAACGCCATATTAACAGCTCTTAAATATATTAATAAACACCGTAAATATAAACAATATATCATATTTTCCGATTCTCTTTCGTGTCTTCAGGCTATTAAAAGTCATTCTTGTAAACATCCGCTTTTATTACAAATTATTGAATTGCATAATGAGCTTGCTACTGGCCAATGCGACATCGTCTTTTGTTGGTTACCCAGCCACGTTGGCATTTCTGGGAACACAATGGCTGATCTTGCTGCTAAGGCAGCACTCAACAAATCTGTGACGCCACTTCTGATCCCATACTCTGATTACAAAGCTGCTATTAGAACTTACATCCGTGATCTGATGCAAAAGAAGTGGGACACCCAGGTAGGTATCAATAAATTACATGAAATAAAACCCTATATTGGTTATACCTACTTGGGTTGTCAGTCCAGATTTGAAGAGGTCATCATGCGACGATGTCGTATTGGCCACACTAGATACACGCATGCGTACCTATTGAAAGGTGAGGATCCTCCGTTTTGCATCCCTTGTGATGAGAGAACCACGGTCAAGCATGTCCTGCTTGACTGTGTTGAATTCTCTATCATAAGGGATAAATACTTCAATGTGAAAACAGTTAAGGATCTTTTTACTACTGTTAATTCTCATTTAATTCTTGGTTTTTTAAAAGAAATTGACTTAATGAATGAATTTTGAATAATATGCTGTGTACATATTTGTATTTTAATTATTGGTAGACTTGATCAATAACTTAGATTGTTAGTGGCTGTACCCTCAAAGGGGGTTGAAGTATTGTAAAATTATTGTCCTCCTGAGAGGGTACGTAAGTCCCAAAACATTTCAAGTAAATTTAAGTATACCAGGTATTTTAATCGTAGTATTTTTGTCATTTTAATGTATGGCTAATTCTCGGTATAAACGCCAACAGCTAAAGGGATGGTGTAAATCCAGCTAGGGTCCATGCAGGTAGCAAAAGTAATGTAAGTCCCCATGGCCCCTAGTATGGTGATCTACCTTCAGTTGTTGGCGATCTATAGCCCATTTTTATATTGTGTTGTCCCCTATAATTACTATGTTTTAGATTCAATTACTAGTTTTACATATATATCTGTGATACTCTAGTTGCTTTACTGTCCTTTGGCGGCAGGTTTTTATAATATCTTTATATATATATATATTCTTTTTCAATATCAAATGTTCTCGTCACGATATGGCTGAAATATTGCCGATGTGACGTTAAATCTTAACTCACTCACTCACTCTAATAATGTCTGCTTTACCATTAGATTATGTTTATGTATGATTCATTTTGAAGTGGTATATCGGCAAACCATGGTACCTCATTCACAATCCTCAATAAGGACGTGAGGACACGTCCTTTGTCACGATAGGATCGTATATCACATGCAGTATACAGTATATCAAGTGCAATATACTGTATACCACATACACTATACTGTGTGCCACGCGCAGTGTGCGCCGGGCGAATTCCCGGCTGGGTCGTAACACCGATAGTCTCCCCCCTCTCCCCTTAGCTAACACCGCATGGGGGATGTAACGAGGTCACAGGTCAGGCATGTACTGGTCAGCTGTTTGGCCGCTGGCCTGATAATGGGTGCATGATTTAAACATACTCTTGAAATTCTGAGACTGTGGCTTTCTGCTATGGTCTTATTAGGTCAAGAGTAGGATGATCCCAGATGACCACTGCACGAGAGGCATGTGGGTTGTGGACGAGGTTCCACATGGTCTTGCCATAATACCATTTTAGGAAGACAGATTATCAGATCTGAGATATAGTCGAATTAATGAGCGTTGGTTAGTTAGTTTGGGAACTGGGAGCTGAGCACTAAGCTCCTAGTTAAACACAGCTCACAATAAAACGTTGTGGACCCGCAGACGGACTTGTGTTGTCACTTTGAGGAATATCCGCCAACACACAACAACAACCAACACCTACAACAACATAGTAGTAGACAGTCTGAAACGTCTACGGACTGGTCCTGCTACGGCGGATATGACTTTGTCTTGTTATAACTTCTTCTTTTTTGTGCTTGGTGCTTGGAGGTACCGAAGATCTTGTCTCCACCAATATATCCGCCGTAGCAGGACCAGTCCGTAGACGTTTCAGACTGTCTACTACTATGTTGTTGTAGGTGTTGGTTGTTGTTGTGTGTTGGCGGATATTCCTCAAAGTGACAACACAAGTCCGTCTGCGGGTCCACAACGTTTTATTGTGAGCTGTGTTTAACTAGGAGCTTAGTGCTCAGCTCCCAGTTCCCAAACTAACTAACCAACGCTCATTAATTCGACTATATCTCAGATCTGATAATCTGTCTTCCTAAAATGGTATTATGGCAAGACCATGTGGAACCTCGTCCACAACCCACATGCCTCTCGTGCAGTGGTCATCTGGATCATCCTACTCTTGACCTAATAAGACCATAGCAGAAAGCCACAGTCTCAGAATTTCAAGAGTATGTTTAAATCATGCACCCATTATCAGGCCAGCGGCCAAACAGCTGACCAGTACATGCCTGACCTGTGACCTCGTTACATCCCCCATGCGGTGTTAGCTAAGGGGAGAGGGGGAGACTATCGGTGTTACGACCCAGCCGGGAATTCGCCCGGCGCACACTGCGCGTGGCACACAGTATAGTGTATGTGGTATACAGTATATTGCACTTGATATACTGTATACTGCATGTGATATACGATCCTATCGTGACAAAGGACGTGTGTCCTCACGTCCTTATTGAGGATTGTGAATGAGGCACCATGGTTTGCCGATATACCACTTCAAAATGAATCATACATAAACATAATCTAATGGTAAAGCAGACATTATTAGAAATGGACATGGATTTATAATCAGATTTAATGTAATGTACAATGTTTTGCCGTGGACCACTTTTTTTTCATTAATAATATATAAAACACGAAGGACGTTGACTTACATACATAAACAGCCAAGATATACAGTCTTTCAAATAAATATATATATAAAGATTTATCTGTTAATGCTGGTTTTACAACTATTGGGTACCGCTAGCGAGGAAAATGCCAAATGTTGAACCTGTTTTGTTTTTAGTGTTTATGTGACCTATGTAGTATATCAGTCATCACTTGTGTTTTAACAAAACACACCCTCTTAATGAAAGTACACTCACTCACGTCACTCTTGCATCCACCCAACCACGCTCGGCATTCACATTGTGCTTAAAACAAATCATTAGCATTCATTCGCCTTTCTTAGCGCAGCCTTGTCAGTAACACACAAAAACACTACAAAACATTAACATTTACCATGGCGATAACTTCATCATTATTATTTTTCTTCACCTCATCACTGTACTACTCTTAAATATAACACCCGGACGAGACACAAAACTGCGCTAATCTTTCAGCCGTCTAACTTTCATACTTGAATATAGATATAGTACATATAACCGAACTAAATGATATCTTGGGTATTATATCTAATTTCATGTCAAATTATTGATGGCTTATAGGTTTTTGGTACATTGTTGTTCATTATTCGAGGCTGTATATACGGTTGTAACTTTCACATACGCACATCAACATAATTACAATGTTTTCAAATTATAATACAAATACATTACATACAAACAAACATGGAATTACACTTACCACGACCAAAGAAACAAGTACATACTAACAAAGTTTCATGTGTCATGTATTTGTGTGTAGATGAACTAAGGTGTGCAATATATTATGTCTTTAGTCTGAGTCTATGTCGTAGGCACTTTGATGGGGTATGGGTTTTATCGGGAAATATAGACATGTTTGTATATTCTCTGAGTTAAGTTAAAGTTGTGTTATCTAAATCTAAATCACAGTGCTAACAATATACATGCAATATCAGCAGCTTATTATCATGACCATCAGCACAGCCATGTACAGGTCAGCTGCCTGCATGTAATTAACCCTAATGAACCTTAGAGTATGGCCGGCTGGCCACGGAAGTTTAACATTGTGGATGAGGTGCATGCTGGATACTGCAGGTTGACCATACATGTATCGTAATACGATACAGGGCAGCCTGACAGTCAGTCTAGTATATAGACAATGAATTCTTAAGTGTAACGGGACTTGACCCTCGGACAGCGGCTAGGAGGTGGGCTGACGATCGCCTCTGTGATACTGCCTGGCCGTTGCTGCACTATCATGTAATTACTTACTTAGCTGACGAATAAAGTGTTGTGGACCCACTGATGGACTTTTGTGTTTGAAGAGACAATATCCCCCCAAACGCTGTAACCAGCCCGGGATATATTGGTGGAGACAAGATCCCTGAACCTCTCTGCAAGAAGTTTTTCAGCAAATATCTGTCGAGATTCATCCATCCTGGGTCCACATCACAACTGAAGTCAAACAGGCACCACCATCAGGCTAAGTCTACGAGAACAGCCAGCCACCCAGCTTGTAACAATTTGCATTTTGGACGCTTCGGAGATCCATCGTTTACAACTACAAAAAAGTGATAGTGTTTCATGGAACACCGGTGTAAAAACAAGAACTGGTCCGTTGACGCTCCACCGTGCACGACGTCCCCCTTCTTCCATATCCTGTGTCTGTGTAAAGAAACTCAAAGACTGATTCCAAGACGAAGAGGTCACCTCATCTACCATGTGTTATTGACATTGTGACTTTTAGTGGACTGTGCTTTGTTCTGTGAATTTGTAATTGTTCTGTGTTTTCCACGATTGTATCCTACAGGGTGAGTGTTTATACCATTTAGTTCATTCTTTAAAGTACAATGCCTCTCTTTTCGTTTAAATCTACTAAATCTGACGACGGGTCCTCCAGTCCATCCTGCTTTCCCTGGAGGGTCCTCCGAAAGTCTAAACGTACAACTACCTCCACTAGCTCAGTCTCTCCATCAGCCTCCCCTCAGCCTACCACCTCTAGTCCCGGTAATCACCCATGTCGAATTCACAATCCCCACTGTGATAACCGTTGTTGCTCTCCCCTTCAATGTTCCTCCCCGCCCGTAGAACGTCCTGCTGGCCATCCCCCACCCCGTGTCTGCTGCACAACCCTCCCAATGCCACTGTTTGATGGACATGATCCCCGCTCTGCATCTTCCTGGCTAAGCAGATTCCAGAAATTTGTTAATATTCAAAATTTCGCTGATGAAGAAATCATTAACGTTTTCCCCCTATATTTATCGGAATCTGCGCTGATTTGGTATGAAGGACTTCCCTGTAAAGACAATATGACATGGCCCAAACTCAAACAATCTTTTCTCAAATGGTATGGCCCCACATCTATCCAAATTATAAATCGTACAAATGCCCTTATCGACAGGAAACAAAAACAGCATGAGGACTTTCGATTATTTCTTCAATCAATTCGGCATGAGGCATTCCTTTTGAAATGTAACGATGACCAATTCATAAAAGACCTCATTTTCAGAAATTGCCTTCCTCATATCGTTCAATTTATTGCCACCAGACGCCATGACACTTTGTCCGATATGATAGAAAGTGCCCAGGTAGCAGAGGACACATACCAAATGTCTGGTGTGGGGGGAATCATGTCTCTCATCTCATCCATTAAAGTTAAGCTGGACAGACTACATGAAGGGCAGCAGAAGCCCACTAATGACTTTCAACCCTCCCCCAGCAATGCATTCCCCAACCCCTCCTTCCCTCTGCCATCACCCAGTTTTCCCCGTCCCACCACCTCCCATCCCACCCCGTGTATCATGCCCACAGACACCCATTCAAGTGCATCCACTGTGGGTTATACCATCTCAGTCCCCAAGAGTGTCGGCTCCACCCCCTCAACTTATTTCCGACACCGCTTATTACCTTCTTTGTAAATGTGTTCCGTTTCATGTCCCTGTTCTGTATGCTCTCTATCGTAGCATCCACCTGTGTTTCTATGTTCCATCAAAGTAATTGTCTGTCCTCCTGGCCACCCTTTTCTAATATGTACTGAAGCATATATGTATGTATTCATGGGCCGTTGTTTGATTAATGTTTGGTGTTGAAAGATGTGTTTGAAATATGTCTGAGATTGATTTGCCATGCTTTGCTTTTCATGGTAGTGTTGTGCCCATAAGCTGAAAATTTGATGTTTTTGATATACATTGTATATCTAATTGAGTTGTTGATATGATGTTAATAGGACTTGAACATGCATTTTGAATGGTGTGACGAGTGTAGATGAGAACGTGAGTGCGTGTGTGTGTGTGTGTGTGTGTGCGCGCGCGCGCGCGCACGTGAGAGTGAGTGAGGGGCTGTTGTTGACTGCTATTTTAGATAGAACACGAGAGAGAAGAATTGCGCGCGCAAGAGTGTGTATGTGTATGTGTGACAGAGACAGGGACAGGCGAGAGACCGTTTGTGTGTGTTAAAATGCAAGGAGAGTTTAAGTTTGATTTGAATGGTGTGACGTGAGTACATGGGAACGTGTGTGTGCGCGAGCGAGAGTGACAGAGAGAGAAAGAGAGCGAGAAAGAATGGGAAAGAGTGTTGATGTCGAGATAGAACAGACGAGAGAGAGAGTGAGTGTGTGTGTTAAAATAAGTATGCTATGAATAGTGTGAGAAAGTGCGCATGTGTGTGTGAGAGAGAGTGTGTGAGGGAAAGAGCAAATTGACTCTTATTTTATTCCTAGAAGTAACAAAATGTTGAGGTGTGTGAGTGAGTGTGGGTGATAAAATAAGTATGATATGAATAGTGTGAGAACGTGTGCGTGCGCGTGTGTGTGAGAGAGAGTGTGTGAGGGAAAGAGAATTGACAAACTGTTGAGATGTGTGTGAGAGTGTGTGTGTGTATGTGTGTGCCTTCAAATATAAGAAGAGTTTCATGTTTATATTGTATGGAAGCTTGACTTATATTTAGGAATTTGTTGTCCATGCATAGGATAAAATGTGCGCCGAAACATGCAATCTTTCACCTGAATTTCTTGAATGTATTTGTAATACAGCGCTACTAATTATTCTGTCATTTATGTTATTGTTTTAAAGAAAAACAGAAAAATGGTTCCACGACACAAATCTTTATATGTCCTATACAAATCTTTACACAAATGTTGTCATTCTTATGTCGATATTCCTGTCAGCAAACCTCAGTTGAAATCATGTTTTCAATTTTGCGATTATCAGGGTGTCTTTTTAACAATGTCGGTATTTTAGAGCTTATCCCTACTACTGATGAATTTGTGTAATTATTGTCACATCAGCTAACCTGTGATGTTATTTGGCAATTTGAAACAATATCATAACTTTTCGTATAGGTGACGTATAATGTATCTAATGTATTTTGTAACTTAATCGCTACCTCATTCACAATGCCTATAAGGACGTGGGACACGTCCTTTTTCTCAGAAAGGGCGTATGTCGTAGGCACTTTGATGGGGTATGGGTTTTATCGGGAAATATAGACATGTTTGTATATTCTCTGAGTTAAGTTAAAGTTGTGTTATCTAAATCTAAATCACAGTGCTAACAATATACATGAAATATCAGCAGCTTATTATCATGACCATCAGCACAGCCATGTACAGGTCAGCTGCCTGCATGTAATTAACCCTAATGAACCTTAGAGTATGGCCGGCTGGCCACGGAAGTTTAACATTGTGGATGAGGTGCATGCTGGATACTGCAGGTTGACCATACATGTATCGTAATACGATACAGGGCAGCCTGACAGTCAGTCTAGTATATAGACAATGAATTC